GGGTCTCTCAGGTAGTGCTGGGTGGAATGTGGAGTGTCACAGCACCCTCGGAATGAGATGCCAATTCCTTATAAAATTAAACAGGTGCTCAGCATGAGCAGCAGCTGCACTCTTGGGTGTTTATCCCGGAGATATGAAAACCATGTTCACACAAGTGACGGTGGGTGTTCCTGGCAGCTTTGTGTACGATAACTCCATCCTGAAAGGGCCCAAGCGCTCTTTCAAGGAGGCTGGGAGAGCAGACAGCGGAGCTTCTGCACCAGGCAAGGCCACAGCAGCAGCACAGAACACACCACGGTGTGTGCACTCAGCCACCTGTGTGATGGCGGAACTCGAACTGGGGGAAAAGGCCGCGCACGGGAGGTGCCGCATCTGATGCATTTGTACAGAGATGACAGCAACCGAGAGACCAAGGACCAGAACGCTGGTGGCCTGCGCCCAGGAAGGGGAATGGGGGAAGCTGGCTACAGCTGTGAAGGACAGCATGAGGCATGGCAATAAGGCTCATCCTTGATTGTGTTAGCAGTCAGGTGATTCTACATGGTGACATCATAGAGAGCTAGACAGACAGACGACACAAAGCACACAGACACACATACACAAACATAGGCATTACGCTCCCAGAGATGCACACAGACACAAACTTAAGGACACAGCTAAATGCACAGAGACAGGCATAGGGATGTTGGTGTGGAAACTGGTCAAGTATGCAGTCTGAGCAAGGTTAATGAATGGTATCACGGTTTGGTTCCAGGTTACAGTGCTGTGCTGTAGTTTGGAAGATGTTTGTGGGGGACTAGGTGAAGGGCGCATGTGTGAGTGAGCTCTGTGCTATTATTTTTCTTCTCTTCTTCCTTCCTTTCTTTACTCGTCCCCCTCCCTCCCTCCTTCTCTCCCTCCCTCCCTCCCTCCCTCCCTCCCTCCCTCCCTCCCTCCCTTCCTTCCTCTTTCCTTCTTCCCCTTTTCCTGACAGAGTCTCACTATATATGTAGCCCAGGTTGGCCACACACTCACCATCTCCTAAGTGCTGGAATCACACCTACATATTCCAGCCCCAGTGCTCTACATGATATTTTATAGTTGCAATAATCCCCAAACAGAAACTTATCCCCAAACAGAAACTTATCTCCAAACAGAAAATTTTAGCAGATTGTTTCAGTGAACATCCCTGGTCAGACGCATCATCCCAGAGGTTCCCCTGAACGTTCGGGTAGGGGTTAGGGTTGGTGTTAGGGGTTAAGACTGGGTTTGGGGATAGGGTTAGGGATCTATTATGAATATCTTTCAGGTAAAATGTTTGTTTCTTGCTAATGGAGTTCTCCTTTCTCCCCCTCTTCCTTCATCCTTGGCACAGTCAGGATTTGAGAATTCTTGCTAGCAGAAGGAATGTCAAACAGTATCTTATCACCACTTTAGTTCTCTTTTCACTGATTAACTGTGGGTTAAAATTCTTTTAATACCTTACAAGCCCATTTGGGGTTCATCTCCTAGACAGAGTTCAGGTTCAGTCACACATTGAACTCCACATGTCCCAGACGCCGAGCTGATGCCATTCTTCCCACATCTTTTTTTTTTTTTTGAGACAGGGTTTCATGTCTCATGTTGTTCAGCTGGCCTGAAACTCTCTATGTGGCAGAGGCTGACCTTGAATTTTTGACCTTCCTGCCTTCATCTCCCAAATTGGGGGGGGGGGGGGCGCGTGAAAGGCATGTACCAGATGCCAGATTTCATGTGATGCTAGAGATTGAACCCAGGGCCTTGTATATGTTAAGCAAGTGCTCAACCAACTGAGCTACATCCCAGCCATCCACTCCCCCACCCCCTCTCTCTCTTCCTGTCCCTAGAGCTTCTCAGTATTGCTTACAAAGCCCAGAACACAAGAACTTTCAGAATCACAGCACTACATCTTTACACCCCCTGAGTAGGAGACTCTTGGTGGCTTCAGGATATGCAACTTGTTCTCAGGAGCCAGCATAAGGGGTCAGAGAAGAAAGCCCTATGCTCAGCAGCCCAGGATGCCTCTGAGAGTCTAGCTACCTCCTTGCCAGCCTGTTGTAAGTGGGTCAGGCTCCCACCTCTGTTGGAGCTGCTGCCTCCAAACAGATCAAGTCAGATCACTAACAAGCATCTCCTACTGACTTGGTTTTTTTGACTAAAGTCTGCCTACCACAGATTTCAACAAAGAGTTAAGGCCTTCCTGGGAGAATGTTCTAGCAGTTCTTCATTTCTGCTCGGGAGGCACAGGGCTGCTGATGTGTTGCCTCTTCCTTGCAACATAGGACCTCCCAGACTCCTTTAGTGTGCTCTGGGGGACTGGTAAGAGCCTCTCTCTGCAGAGTGGTGGCTTTTAATGTGATGCTGGGTCACAGGGGCACTCTCTTTTCTTCTTCATCCACAGCAAAGGAAGCTAAGGAAGGGATATCAACTAAGATGGGTATCTCTATGGTCAGGTCACCTGGGGGATGGAAAACGGATGTTTTAATAGACATGGTCACTCACTAGTGAGGGACTTAAAACTTTATTTTTGGTCATATGTTTATCTGGGTGGGGGGTATGTGCATGTTGTAAGTGCTGGTGTCCTCAGAGTTCAGAAGATAGTGTTGCATTCCCAGGAGCTGGAGTTACAAGCAGTTGTGAGCCAATTGATGTTGGAGCTGGGAACTGAACTAGGGCCCTCTACAAGGACAGTGGAGCGTCTTTAATCACTGAGCCATTCTCTAGTCCCTTGTGGTGGACATTTAAGAAGAATGTGCCCTGAGAGCCAACTAATAGGGTGATGATGGAGAATGAAGCTCTCCCAGGGCAGTCAAGACTTAAATGCAGTAGTTAACAGTTTTCAGTGGGGAGCCTGGTGTTTGGTGAGGGCTCAGCCAACGCCACCTGCTACAGGAAAGGCATGGGCAGCTGCTGACATTGGAAGGAACTTGGAGGGGGGCTGGTGCCGTGACTCAGTGGGGAAAAGCGCTTGTCACCAGGGCTGATGACCTGAGCTTGATCCCTGGAACCCACATGGGGGAAGGCAAGTGCCGACCCCTGACTGCCGCACATGCTCACCCACATAGACACATAAATAAATAAATAAATAAAATCTAAACATTAAAACACGTAACGGACCCGAAGAGGAAACCAAGAGTTGGCAAACAAAATAAGCTTTGGCACTCCAAAATCCAGGCTAAATTGGAACATCCTGGAAAGATGGGGCTGTGTTCTTTTTCCGTGTTCACACATCTTTTTTTAATCACACACACCATTTCCAACCAAGAACCGACACTCCATATCTAGACAGGCATTAAAAGTGGATTTGAACACACTTTTTTTTTTTTTTTTTAAATCTCAAGTTGATACAAGTCGGCATTTCAGAACAATTAAATCCTTAGGAGTTGCACCTCACATTCATGATTATTTTAAACCGCATTTTCTCTCTCAAGTTTCTGTTTATTCCACTGAGAATCTAAGGATGTCTACACAAGCCAGGCTGTTGTTCACCTGCACCATTGGCTGAGCACATACTACAGGTCTCTGGTTATCGGTCACTCTGGCCTGGGATCCCCTCTTCCCATCCTCTGAAACAGGTGCCCACCCCCACCCCAGCAGTAGGTGCCTGCAGGGTAAGCTCTATTTGGGAGAGCCATGGGTAGTGAGTGAGTGGGTGGTCCTTTGAGCTTGTCTACGGACGGACCCTCCAAAGCCACGGGTCTTAAATGAGACCTCCCTAAGGTCTCCTTCCTCTGAAAAAGTCGTTCCAGTTGCGTGTCCCGTGTCTAGCGCAGGCAGAAGCGATGCCTGCCTGATATCTGTCTCCCACCCCTACAGGTTCTCAGCCCCAGCTCCAAGGCTTTCCTCAACGCACAGATCCACGCTTGTGTGCTTGTGTGCGGTGGGGATCAGCAGCTAGCTGTCCTGCTGGCAAGGGGCGGGCGAGGAGTCAGAAGCACAAATGCTTGTCCAAGCCTCGCTCCACCTCTCAAATCAGGGGGCTAGCGTAGCACTCCAAAATCCCAAGCAGGCTACGAACATCCCCTAAAAACCAGAGTGGACAACACACCAAAGCAGAGCACGAGGACTTCCCCCCCCCCGGAGAGGGGGGGGGAAGGGTACCGGGACCTGGCGCTTCAGCAGGACCAAGTTACCGCGGGAAGACCGGGCCAGGCTGGACACAGCGCCAGGGCCAGCAGGTGGCTGCACGTGGGCAGGGTGGGTGAGGGTCTGCGTGCGGCGCCCAAAGAGCCTAGGAGCCTGAGACAGGCCCCGAGAAGGCGGAAGCCTGGTCAAGTGCCTGTCGCCGCCCTCTGCTCAAAGAGAAACTGCTGCTCCTTGTGGGGAAGGGCAGGGCAGGGACCGCACGAGGGGCAGCAGGTGTGCGGGCAGCAGGCACTGCGGGCTTCGATGGACCCCTGGTGCGCTCGGAGCCCATCAGAACCCCTCTCCGCACGCTGAAGGCCGTCTCTCTAGACCGAGGTCATCTCCCACCCCTAAACTCCTCCCCCCACCATTTCTAGGCCGCTCGAGTTTCAGCGACCCCGGGGTCCCGAGGCCTGGCTAGAGAGCACTCTGGGATAGCCCTCGGGCTTCCAATCCCCACCGCTGTGGACCTGAGTCTACACCTGCGTCCACCACTTCCCAAGAAAGATCGGGGCGGCCGACGTGGTATCGGTCGGAGAGGTCGCCTAGTTGCCACCTGCGGGGCCACCTGCTCCGTTGGTCAGGTGTGACCCAGGAGCTCCTGGCCTGGGAGAGGACCAAAGTTCTGCTGCTGGCGCCGAGCACCCTCTCTTTCGCCTTTCTGGGAGTCAGGCTCGGTGCTGGGGTCTCCCGCTCTTAGGGGCGCCGAGACAAAGGCTCCAGGGCCGCCCCGCGCGTCCCTGATCACGATCACTTACCGGTGCTGGCTGCGGCTCGGAGGTCAAGGGGCACCGGGGAGCCCGGCAGGAGGGACCCGACGCTGGGCTCCGGGTCGCTGGGCCGCGGGGTACTGCGTTTCGGGGTCGCGAGACTCGGGCCGCCTGGGCCGGAGGCTCGTCCTCGCTGGCGCGCAGCGGCAGTGACTGACAGCGGCTGCTCCGGGGACGGGCGCGCACCCCGCTCCAGCCCCGCCTCCCTCTGCCTGCCAGCAGGTAAACGCGCGCCACTGGGAGGGCGGGGGACACGCGGGGACCCAGGGGCAGGGCAGCCCTCGGAGCGGCAGGGCGGGGCTTTGCTCGTCACCGCCCTACGCTCCGCACCGCCTGCGCTCTCTGAACTTTCCAGCTTCTGAAACGTGGAGCGGGAGCTGTCAAGAGAGGTCTAGATGGCATCGCCCGCCCTGCACCAAGGGTTACCTTGATGCACCTGTCCCGGATGAGGAGCTCAGCCGGACCTGAGGTGGATGTCTGTGTTCTAGGCCTGAACCTGGGGCTGAGACCACAGGTGCTGGCTGGAGGACCCAGGACGCCCTAGTGGCTAGTGAGTCCAGCAAGGAAACTTCCCCTTTCTTACACTCAGGAACCCGCTGGGCTTACGTGAACACAGGTTCCTGCTGTCACATGAATCTTTTGACTCTATCAGCCTGGCTCTGAGTATGTGGGAGGAAGCAGTGGATGGGGACCACACTGAGTAAGTCTCTGGTTCTTTGTGAGATAAACCCTGCTAGGGAATCAATCAGATAACCTAGGGACACACACCATGCATGGCAAGAACAGAGAACAGGAAGTCTCAGAGCTGGCTCCTAGGGAGTTTCACATCCTCCTGGAAAGTGGAGGATCTAGTGACTATGTCCAAATGCCAGTCTTCCTAAAACAAATATTTTCACAGCAGTCTAGAGACATCTAACTGGTCCTTACCTAGGAGCTTATGGCGCACATGGGGGTGCAGGTGGGGGGTGAGGATGTAGGTCCCGGGATTTGGAGTTAAGGATAGAAAAGCAGGGAAAGGTCCTGGTCCAACAGGAGATGAAGTGACTTTAAGCCTATTTGAAGCAAGAGGGCCACCCAGGACAGGGATGTCCAGTGCTCACAGAGAATGTTGGAACTTTGGGTCCCATTCCAGACATCAGAACTCAATGTCAGCAGCCAGAAGACAGATGTGTCCCGGAGTCCCTGCCCTGAGGTGTCAGTGAATCTGGGAGCTGCCTAGCCACAGTGGGGACAACAGTCTCACGCCCTCCAAAGCTTCTGTTGATTCCCAGGGACATCAGGCTTCCTTCCCTATGGCAGGCATGGCTGACCCTGTTAGACCCCCGTGAAAAGGACTTGTGATAGGTTGCCTGCATTGTTTGTGGGGATACAACGCTTGTGTAGACAGGTGTTGCGGAATATTACTTTAACTGGGCAAAGATGTGTTACATTTGTTTATGCTGCATTTGTTTAACTATGTGAAGCTGTGTTGCTTTGCCTGCCTAAGGCACCTGATTGGTCTAATAAAAAGCTGAACAGCCAATAGTTAGTAGAGGGATAGGTGGGGCTGGCAGGCAGAGAGAAGAAGTAGGAGGAGGAAGAATCTAGGCTCAAGAGAGGAGAAAAACGAGGGAGAAAGAGAGGGACAGCCAGAGCCGTCCACCCAGGCAGCTGCCAGCCAGCCAGACCCAGAGTAGGACAGACAGCATGAAAGGAAGGTAAAAAGCCCCGAGGCAAAATGTAGATGAGGAGAAACAGATTAAATTAAGTTCTAAGAGCTAGTGGGACAAGCATAAGTTAAGATCAAGCATTCATAATTAGTAATAAGTCTCCATGGCATGATTTGGGAGCTGGTTAGTGGCCCAAAAGCAAGCCTGCTACAGATAGGCAGCCAGACCCTCAAACTGCATGAAGACTTTTCAAGAAAGATGTGAGTGTGGAGTAGGCTGTTTAATTAGGCCTGTAGTAGGACAGTCCCATAGGGTCAAGGAAATTGGCTCAAACCAGTTACCAAGGCATGCACATAACATACTTCCTTATGAGCCAAGCTGGAGTCTGCCTGAGGGCCTAGCAACAGGCACCGCCCAGAGTTCCTGATTGTGCCCAGCCAATGAGGGACGACCATGCAGTGCCATCAGATTGGGACACAGCTTGGGTGCTGGGAGGAGGGTATAGAAAGCCTTCCCCATTATTGAATAAACGAGTCTGCTGTTTGCCTTCAACTGACTCCCGGTGTCTGTGCCATTGACACTGTGCTTTCTCACTCCCTCCCCCAAGGGAGCTGCTAGGATCCAGCAACAAAGGCCATTGGTCAATATTTGAAGGGCATGTTTAGCAGCTTCCTCTCTTGCTGGCCATGGAAAGGACAAAAGATCCAGGGAGCAGGGGACATGAAGCAAATCTCACTATGGAGTCAACTCTTAGCCAAAGACTACAGCCCTTAAGCAAGATGGCTGAGATTCAGGGCTTTGGGTGAGACATAAAGTCACCTCTTGACAAATGGTGACAATGTCTTGTTGTATTTGGCATTTTTAAGAAGCCATGGTGTAGTTGCCTCCTTCTCTCACTAAACCTCAGGCCACCAGAGGGTAGAGTGCACAGTCCTGTCAGCATCTCACACCTCAGTGGGCAGCAAAGACTTCTGTGTGCGATCTGCACTTAGCACGCTTGCTGATTCAGACTGCAATGCACCAAGGTAAGTTAAGATGCAAATTAGGACTGGGGAGAGTTTGTTGGGTTAGAGTTTGCTGTGCAAGTGTGAGGGCCTGGGTTTGAGGCCTCCCTACTCACCTGAAAGCTAGATGTGACCACAGGGGCCAGTAATCCCAGCAGAGCGGAAGGAGGAGACAGGTGGGTCTTCAGGGTTCTCTGGCCAGCCAGCTTAGTCAAAACATCGACAAATGTACACACCACACATGGACACAGAAGCCTGATCTAACTGTTTCTCAGGATGCTGGTGTTGTGAATTTTCTGCTTTTCTTTTCAGAATTACATTTATAATTCTGTTTCTATTATGAAATGACGAGACTTCATTCTCACCTCTGGTCTGTGATTTGCAGTTTGCCTGAGGTCTTCATGAAGCAGAGAATGGACTTGGGCCTGGGCGATTGTCTCATCTACTGGTCTAGGGAACAACTGAGTATGATCGGCCATCCTCATAGACTGTGAGAACATTAGGGGAGTGACTGGCAGGAAGTTCAGCCTAAGAAAAACCTGCTGTGAACAAGGAGAGCGCTTGGGGCTGTAGACCCAAGCTACATGCTTACCAGAACCCTTGTTGCTGTGCTTCTTGTAAAATTAGGGCAGGGGCATCTGGCTGAGAGAAAACAGTTCCTACCATCGATTTGTTATTATTTTATAAACTTTCACAAAGTGTAAACCACATAATATTTTCACTTAACTGTAGCTTCACATTTTTGTTGATAAGATAAAAAAGCATCTAGTTACCTATGGGGCTTGAAGGCTCTCGAGGACCTATAGGAATCTATGGACTAGTCTATGTGTTTATGCTTCCCACAGGTGCTGTGCTGAGGTTGGTAAGTATCAGTCCACTTTTTCCCTGGATTTTCCAGTGTGATGGTGGTTTTCAGGATGCCTCTGTAATCCCCTGGGCCTCTTTGTACTCATAAGTGGTCACTTTAAGTTGAAGTTGGTGTGGTAATTTGTTTCCCCAACACCATCTCCAGTCTCACTCTGTCTTCTTCCTGTGTGACTTTGGCACTCATGCTGTGTGTGTGGGGTGGGGTGCAGAGTCTCTCTGCTCCCCGTGAATCTCTGAGAAGCTTGGTAATTTCTTCCACCAACAGGCAATTCTCTGCACTTGAGACAAAGGCTCTCCCGCTGAGCCACATCCTCAGTGCAAAGGATCTGTACTCTGGAGGCTGGGTCATAGCAACGCCAACCAAAGTTGTCCTTTCCCAGTTGACTATCATGCTTGGAACCTGGCCACCAGGCTTTGAGGCATCCTGGACAGAATCGTGGGGCAGCCACGTGCACACCCTCTGCTTGACAACTGCGTGAAATCCTACCAGCTGTGAGAGGGGACAAGCCTTCCAGGAAGTCTGCCTTGGGGTCACCCTCTTCTGATTCCTCCAAGCTGAGTTCGGACAGCACAGAGCAGAAGGAAGCCATCTGCCCATTGCACTCCCAACTCCTGGCCCACAGAAGTCGTGAGGTGAGCACAATTCAATGGTTGTTACTTTGGCCCATGAAGCTTGGGTGTGCTGCTGTACACTGCGGTGACTGGAAGAGATACTGGGAGGATTAAGCCAAACAGTGGGGGAATGACAGAATGCTGAGGTGTGACCACTGTTTCTCACCCCCATCCTATTTTTTTTTGTGCTCTATATAGATAACCACAAGTTCCACATACAGAGAAGAAAGCACTGTATTAAATGCCAGTCTTGATTACCCGGCATTTCACTCTCCCAGTCACTCATTTACTTACTCAGTAAACAAACAGCAACAACAACAAGAAAACAACAAAACAACTTTCATTAAGCATGAAAACAAGGTGTCTCTCTTGAGAAACATGAAGCGCTCTGGTTTAGGCAAACAGGGAAGAGGAGCATATGCCCAGAGAACAGTGCCTACACACAGGGAAAGCCCCAGAGCCCCAGGAGCCTGCCCAGGAGTGGTGAACAGTGTGGGAATTGGCCAGATGGAGGAAAGAGGACATGTGCACACGGGGAGCTTGTTAGAAACAGGTAGGTCAAAGGGAGGAGCCTGCCATAAGCCCTGGGGAATCACAGCAGAACAGTCATGTCATAGCTGATGTTTGGCCAACACCTGCCAGAGACCTAGCACCTTGTGGGATTAACTGGCACTGTTCCTGCATTAAACTGTCAGTCAGAGGAGGAGCCTGGGCTTTAGGAGCCAGCAAAGCTCTTAGGATCAACCAGTGGGTTTGGAGTAGAACCTAGGTGCCACACAGAGGCCCCGTGCAGGCCGACTCGATGGCCCTGGGAGAGTCTCCCAAGATCTCCCCGAATCCCACATAGGTGGGGCAGCTCTGAACTCACGGCAGCTCTCACTATGGCTCCTGGTCACCTCGTACTTGGCAGAAGGTCTCCTGTGCAGGTGTGTGACCATCCCTATCTTTGATTCAGCACAAAGAACAGCAGGGAAGGGTAACCCCAGTGACCCAGCATCGTCTGGGGGCCGTGAAGGAGCTCTTCTCTCCCTTTGGAGGAACCTGGGGAAGGGCAGCTGGCCCACCAGTAAATCCCCTAAGCCCGTTGGGAGCTCATAGCAGCCTGCTTACACAAGGGCCCCTTGCCCTCTGGCCTGATGCTCTGTGTCCTCTCTCTGCATCAGGGACAGCCATGCCAGGGTAGGTGAACTGTGTGGCAGAGTGACTGCAAAGGAAGGTCTGTGCCTCTCCCAGCCACAGGCTCACCCCCCTGCAGTGTGGAGACAACTGCTCCCTTACCAAGTGGCCAGGCTCTTTCCACAGCCCATGTCAACCGACTCCGAGGTGGCGATGAAGCTTGTTCATTTTCCTGGCGGTTATCTATACGCCATTTACAAACAGATGTAACATCAGAAGAACTCTGGGCTGGCCATGGGAACATCACCCAAGTTCACCTTGTTAGAGACATGGAACCCAGTCTGTGGGGCTCGTGTGCCCTCTGGTGGACAGGTGTGTCAATTCAGGCTACTTAAATCACTTTGAAGGACTTAGCAGGTTGGAGGACAGTCCAAGTTTGGGGACAGGATCCAGGACAGAGAGGACACTCAGGAAAATCTGATGACCAGCCAGCACTGGATGGGACCTCAGTGTTTTCCTTCATTTTCTTCTGTATATCTCGTGTGTCTCTGTGGTCTTGGAAGCACGAATTAGAAAAGAAAACCCATCAACTAACCAATCGAACAAAAAAATCGACATGAGGATGAGGTTGGTTTCTCCCTGTCCACACATTCGCAAGCATCTTCTTAGGTCAAGCATTCAATCTTATTTCTCCATACTCCAAGGGAAAAAGAATGAGGTTACATGACATTCAGAAAACACCATTAGTCTTCAGAGCACATGTTTGAGTGCCTTTTATAAAACACATTGGCTCTAATTATAAGCACACAACTAGATTATTCAAGTCAAATGGTAGCCAGTAGTGTGTGTGGGTGTGCACACACACATAGTGCCGGCAGCAGTCTAGGCCTTACGCATGCTAGGCAAGAGTTCTACCACTGAACTATATCCCAAGCCAAGGACCTAGGGTTTTTTTTTTTTGTTTGTTTGTTTTGTTTTTGTTTTGTTTTGTTTCTATCTGTGTCACCCTTAAAGGATCTGGTACACTGGATGTTGTTCGGCTCATCCAAATGTCATTCCTGTTTCTGGAGTTGAAGGTTCGTATATAAAGCTGTCCGTATGGCAAAGAAAAGATTCAACTTGGGGTAAGAAAATAGGCTCTGTCTCTCTGTCCACAAAGTTACTAAAATAAGTGAGAAGTAACAACAGCCATACACTGTGTAATTGACCTCCTCTCTGTGGTAACACAATGTGGCTGGGTTTGTGCAAGAGCAGTCTTCCCTTCCCCAGATTGTTTTTTTATTCTTCTCTCATATAATACATCCTGACCGCAGTTTCCCCTCCTCTCCTCCCAGTCCCCCACCCTGTTCCCCAGATCCACTCCTCCTCTGTCTCCCTTCAGAAAAGAGCAGGTCTCCCAAGGACATCGGCCCAACACTGCGGTAACAAGTTGCGACAAGACCAGGCATAAGTCCTCATACCAGGGCTGGGCGAGCAACACACTAGGAGGAAAAGGGTCCCAAGAGCACGCAAAAGAGTCAGAGACATGCCCCCCACCACTCCCACCGTTAGGAGTCCCACAAGAACACCAAGCTACACAACCCTAACATAAATGCGGAGGACCTAGCGTAGACCCACACAGGCTCCCTGGCTGTCGCTCAGTCTCTGTGAGCCCCTGTGAGCCCTGCTTAGCTGATTCTGTGGGCTGTGTTCTCCTGCTGCCCTCAACTGCTCTTGCCTGTACAATTCCTCCTCCCCCTCTTCCATGGGGTTCTCCAGGCTCTGAGGGGAGGAACCGACGGAGATCTCCAATTTGGATTCTCTCTCCACCTTACATTTGGCTGTGGGTCTCGGCTGGAGAAAGCCTCTCTGATGATGATTGCTTCCCCAGATTTTTTTTATTTAGGACTGGCATCATACCTAGGGCCTTGTGTATGCCAGGCAAATACTCTACCATGTAAGTATTTCCCCATCCCTCTTTTTACTTTGTGTGTGCTTATGAGTGTGCACGTATGTGTGCAGGCCAGAGGACCATACACAGTGTCAGTCCTTAGGAGTGTCATCCACTGTTTTTTGTTTTTCTGGACAGGTCTTCTCACTTCTCTAGGACTCCCTAGCATGTGAGGCTGTCCAGCGAGCCTAGGAACACAGCTGTCTCCTCCTCCCCAGCTGAACTACAAGCATGTGCCACCATGTCTGGTCCCTTTACATAGATTCCGGGAACTGAATGTGGGTCTTTGTGCTTTCAAGCAAGCACTTTACTGACGGAACTGTCTCCCTCAGCCCCTCTACCCTCACTTTTTACTTTTCACTTTGAGATAGTCTCATTCTGTAGCCCAGAGTGCTTATGATCTTGTGGCAATCCTCCTGCCTCAGTCTCTGTACATGGGGATTATAGCCCAAGTCACCATATATGGCTCTGGATTACAGGGTGGAGAGAGAGAGAGAGAGAGAGAGAGAGAGAGAGAGAGAGAGAGAGAGAGAGAGAGTGTGTTAGTTATCTTTCCTGAGGCCTTTGGGCAGTGAGCTAACTGTGGCTACCAGATGTATGAGAATACAATGGGTCCAGGACAGGAACCCCCAGGAATCATAGACCATGTCTGGAATTGCAGGGACCATAGTTCTAAGAAGCCTGATAGTCAAGAAAGGAAAAGAAATTTAAAAAGGTCTTCTGTTATAGGATATATCATCACACTGTGAACCCCAAGATTATACTATTTACTGGAAAAACCTGTTTCTAGTTATGGTGTGGCTCAGCCCTAGGACACACCTTTTATCTAAGAGCTTTCTGCTTGAATATTGCAAACAGGATTAAATAAAGTCAACCATAGATCAAGAGGCAGAACAAGCAACCAGTTGATAGGGAAAAAACAAACAAACAAATCCAACCATAGAGAGTAAGAGGGAGTCAGGAGGATGGATAGAGAGACGCACAGAAACAGAAGGGAGGGACTTTGAGTTTGAGGAGTTTTGATTGAGATGGTGTAGGAGAAAGTCCTCTTTCTGGGATGTCAGCGGAAGAGGATGGTCAGCCGGGTGCTTTCTTGGCCTCTCTGAGCTAGTGGGTTTTCACCCCAGCATCTGGCTCCCAAGTCTTTATTAGTAAAATTGAATGATTGAGATTTTGTTGAAAGCAAGAGTCTTTTCTCTGCCTGCTATATGAGTCACTTTATAATTTCTTATAAACCGATATTTGGCAAGTATATCTGTTTTATTTGCTTATAAATCTGGGATTGTGTCAAAATTTCTCAGGAGAAAAGGAGTCATGAATGAAGAGTTTAAGAGGGTGCAATGGTTCATTAACCTCCTTTCGGAATACATCTTCAGCCTATCAGTTCTCTTCCATCTCTAGAGTACCCTAAAGTAGGCAGTTGTGCAGTTATCTGCCTGTGTGTCTACGTATGTATCAAAAAAATCTGTTTCAAGGATTGTGATCATGTGACTTGGGACCCCCATAAGTGCAGAGACTACAGGCCATGTGTCAGGCTGGAACTTTGGGTGCTAACATAAGCTGGTCTGAAGGGGAACCCCTTCTTCTCTGGGAACCTCTGTTGTCACTTAACAACTCAGCCGGAGGGATAAGGCCTACCCACCTCACCCATGGCTGTCCCTTCCCTCAAAGTCACCTGACTGTAGGTGTCAATCTTAATCAGGCCTACAGACAGTTTCACATGAATGAGCACTAGGTGATCTCCTCAGAGGAAGGTCAGATGCACTGGCTTGTAAAACTTGTCTGTTGTGGGAGGAATCAGTGATGCTACCTAAGGTGATCTAGCTGCATAGACTTTCTTGACTAACAGGATGTTTAATACAAACTGCTAAAGTTAATCACAGAGTCTTCTTCTCCCAGCCCTTAAGCCATAGTGCAATTTGACTTCTAACATTTTTGCTGGGGGATGCGTATGCAAATGTTAAGATGTATTTTTCATTTGTTTCCTACACTTTATGAACATTAAGGAAATAATTGCCCTCTGGGTAGAAACTAGGATGCTCTTAAAAAATAATATTTGCTGGCTCCCAGAGATGAAGCCCTAGCTGGGGCCTCTGAGCCCCAGCCACCTGATCCTCAGGGCCTAATGAGCTCCCTGTGCTAATGTGTGCGCCGGGCTTCTTCAAATGCCAAGTTATTCCTTTCCGGCAGAGTTGTAATCCATTTTCTGCTGACTATTATGAAAAATGTGGACAAGAGCAAAATTTCAAATGCTGTTTTACAAAAATTATTTAATCCTCTCTGGCCTGTGGTGGGAATTCATCTGGAATGGCCCGTTGATATGTGTCTCTGCAGAGTCACCCTGGCATGTGCAATCTGAGCCAATTTCATGAAAACCTCACCCTGCTCATCTGAGTGATGGATGGGTTCGTGCCGAGCAGAGTGCAGCCAGAGTCAGCCTCAAAGGACAGCAGAAGATGGCAGAATAGACGGGTTTGAGTCTGCCTCCCCCACCTTCAGGATGACGGCAATTTACCACCAGCTGGAGTTGGACATTCCATCACTGTAACATTACTACTTTATTTGAAATCCAAGATCCATGGTAAATGATCTTGCCACCAGGGCAGGGTAGAGGAGGCAGGCTCCATTAGCCATTTCCATTTTGGGGAAATCGCTTTGGATTGTCCCTGAAGCCCTTTCACGAGATGCAGGGAGGAGGGTCAAGGCAGCGAGCTCTGGCGTGGTGCTGGCCCGGAGTCAGGCTTCACGTGGAGACCAGGACCTCTGCACGCCTCTTTCCAACCTTCTGTGTTTTAGAGTAGCCTGTCCTCCAATGTCCTCCATAATGGAAAAGCTAAAGGTTTCGTATCATTGATAGACACCTGAGGGCTGGTCAATCTGTTAACAATGAATGGAGGTCCGGAGCAAGTTTGAGCTGGGGAAAGGGTTGTAGGAAAGGCCAATGGACTTGGAGAAGGGGACATTGGGGTTCAGGCCACTGAGGTTTGTACTGAAGGCACTGGATAGACTTTCCAGAGTTGTAGAGAGGTATTGAAAAACAGGGTCCTCTGAGCCAAATGGCCCCAATTATTATCAGATTACCTGTGCCTGAGCTGGAGGCCATCCTGATTGGGTCTGTGGACTGTTGGTATTTGAAGGGATGGGATGAGGTCTGGACCCTCACCTGAAATTCCAGCCACTCCTCCAGTCCAGTTGTGTCCAGTTCTGCCCTAATTTCAGATGACCTCATGGCCTTCGGGTCTGAGGGGTACTAGGGTATATAAGCTGGGGGAAGTTAATTGAGAGAAGGAGGTTCTATCTCTGTGGCTATGAGGAAGACGTCATCCATGCTGGGTGAAGACTTTCTATTGTGGCTGATTTGAGATCACCCATGTTCCTGCTGGTGACCCTCCCCTGTGCTCTTAAGTAAGACCAACAAATGTGTTTGTTCCCCAGAGGGCGCTTTGGTGGGTTTGTTCTTTGTTTTTCCTTGGGACCTTATAAGGAGGAGTGTCGTTGTTCACATTTCTCCAAAGGAGGAATTCTCAAGACAGGTGGGAATGTGGGTTCACATTTGCCAGGGCCCTGCAACACATTGTAATGACTCATGGAAAAGAACCAAAGCATAAGCCTGTTTCTGGATGCCCCAGAACTGCTGAATACTGTGGTTTAGCTCATCTTAGGTCTGGGTGGAGCTGGTTCTTCCCCTACAGCCCCCTGATTTCTGGAACAACATGAAGGGCTCTGGTGAAGAAAGGGCCTTGCAAAGACAGAACCACACAGCAGAGGAAAATGGACATCTAGGGTTGGAGAGAAAGCTAGTACCAGAGACCGAGAAGCAGCTGGCCTGAGGCCCCTTGGAGCTGAGGGAGCTGCCTCATCCTTTCCATGGTGAAAGACAGCAGACTGCTGTCTGTGATGTCTGCTCCCCAGGAGACAGATGCGTATCTGTCAGGGTCAGGTTCAGAACTGGACACAGTGGGTGACTCTGAAATGGAAGAGGTGGGAGCTGGGAGGCTGGGAGGTGGCTCAGTGATGAAAGCACTTTCCGCTCTCCTAAAGGACCCAAGTTCCATTCCCAGCACACACATCTGGCTACTCACTACCACCTGGAGCTCCAGCTCTGGGGAATGGAAGCCTTTTTTGGCCTCTACAAGTGCTTGCACATATGTGGCATACATTCTCTCTCTCTCTCTCTCTCTCTCTCTCTCTCTCTCTCTCTCTCTCTCTCTCTCTCTCTCTCTCTCGTTCTCTCTCTCTCTCGTTCTCTCTCTCTCTCTCTCTCTCATACACACATTCTCTCTCTTTCTTTCTCATATACTCACATTCTCTCTGACACACCACACACACACACACACACACACACACACACACACACACACACACACACACAAATATCTTCGTGTTTTCCCCCATTTGTCCTCTTGTGAAATAGTCTAAGGAGAGACACTTGTGCCCCTCCAGTTGGCTGTGGACTTTTGAGACAATAGTCTCCAAGGAATAGGGATTTCCCCAGAATCTCCTGCTGGGAGAAGGAAAGGCCTGAACCCAGAGTCAGCCTGAGGAGGACTTTGCCGTCATCAGGGATTTCATGAAGTTCTGACTCCTGTTTAACTAGCAGGAGAGACAGGAGCCAAGACAATGAAGGGCTGGTGAGGCGGGACCACTCCTTGGCCAGGACTGCTTGGCCACACAGGCTCTTGGCTCTTGTCCTCTGTTTAGACCCAAACCTCTTGTCAGGACCCTGAAGATGGACTTGGGGAGTGGGTGTGAGGGAGGAGTCCCCGTGTCCCCCTCTCCCCTTTTCTAATGTGGCGATATGAAGTACAACTTTCTTCTCTGCTTTTCATGGTCGTGTTGTCTTGTCCTAGCAAGCATCTGTATCGCTGCAAGTCTGTGAATCCCAAGGTCACACATCTTGCATTCCTGCATCTCCTGGTTTAAAACAGCCTTCAACTGCAACTGTTCTGCTCTGTGTTTTGCTCTGGGGTTTCTCTGCCTGTGTCTTTTGTTGGCAGCAGCCAGGTGCGGATGCCCTGCTGGACTTCTCTGCTGCTGAGAGCACAGCCCGCTTTAGGGAAGGAGTTGGATGCTGTGTGCAACGGATGTTGCTTTTCTTTGTACTTTTCTTACTGTACATGCAGCATCCTTTCTCGTTTGTTACCCTCCCACGCCCAGATCTTCCTCCAGGGCTTGTCAGAGGTCCTTTATTTCAGGAATTCTCAGCCTTTGCCACTTGTAGAAGTCACTTGATTATTGGTGTGTGACAGTTTCCCACAGTTTAAGTCAGATAGACTGCCGATCACCACTTACATTCCCTTGGGTAATTCTAGCTCTGTGAGGAGGACCCTCCTCCAAGCCGCCCCTTTCAGACACAGATTTAAATGTAGACTGAGCCTTCTCTTCAGACTCCTCCTGAAATAATATTAACTGAAGTTCCCAGAGAAAAAGAAAAGCTGTTCTTACATCAAACTTTTCACCAAGCTGACTGACTAATTAGGACATTGATTATGAAGAGTTGGAATGTTGCGAGTCTAGAGCTGAATTATCTTGGGCTATCTTTCTTTTCCTAAACAGCCATTCATTGCTCACCTCTGTGTCACGTCTGGTCCCCTTATTTGGTAAGTCTCTTGGAAGGGACAAACAAAGGTATAGCTTCCACCTACCCAGAAGCTAAAATTGCATCAGACCGCATTGGAGCCTATAGTGAAATTTCTCCTCTTTGCTTTATTCCACCTACATATGATGTCCCTTCCCCAGCAATGTATTTGAAAAATGCCTTAATTTATGATTTTCTCTGCTCTGTTTCTTTACTATGTTGGAACATGGAATTTGGGGTGACCTGACTCTGGGCTCTCAGGCTGTGGTCACTCATATTTACCTCCAGAACCAACCATTTCTTATATCCTGAGGTGAGCACTGGGTGTTTTTGCATTTACAATAAAAGAGTCAAGCCAGCTAGATGTGCTCTGGGACCTTCCTGGCCCAAGAGTCGAGGATCCTAACACCAGAAGCCCGCTCAGGTGCTGGGAGTCTAGGCGGCACTGCCTGGTGATGCCCACTGCAGCTCACTGCAGCTCACTGCTCTTCACTGCAGCTCACGGCTGCCCACTGCTCTTCACTGCTGCTCACTGCTGCCCACTGCTCTTCACTGCTACCCACTGCTCTTCACTGCAGCTCACGGCTGCCCACTGCTCTTCACTGCTGCTCACTGCTGCCCACTGCTCTTCACTGCTGCCCACTGCTCTTCACTACTGCTCACTGCTGCCCACTGTTGCTCACTTTTCTTCACTGCTCCTCACTGCTGCCTACTGCTACCCACTGCTCTTCACTACTACCCACTGCTACCCACTGCTCTTCACTACTACCCACTGCTGCCCACTGCTCTTCACTACTGCCCACTGCTGCCTACTGCTGCTCACTGCTGCCCACTGTTCTTCACTGCTGCTCACTGCTGCCCACTGCTCTTCACTGCTCCTCATTACTGCTCACTGTTCCTCACTGCTGGCCACTGCTGCCCACTGCTCCTCACTACTGCCCACTGCTCTTCACTGCTACCCACTGCTCTTCACTGCTGCTCATTGCTGCCCACTGCTGCTCATTGCTCTTCACTGCTGCCCACTGCTCTTCACTGCTGCCCACTGCTGCCCACTGCTCTTCACTACTACCCACTGCTGCCCACTGCTCTTCACTACTACCCACTACTGCCCACTGCTCTTCACTGCTGCCCACTGCTCCTCACTACTGCCCACTGCTACTCACTGCTGCTCACTGCTCTTCACTGCTGCCCACTGCTGCTCACTGCTGCCCACTGCTCTTCACTGCTGCTCACTGCTCTTCACTGTTGCTCACTGCTGCCCACTGCTCTTCACTGCTGCTCACTGCTGCCCACTACTGCCCACTGCTGCCCACTGCTGGCCACTGCTCTTCACTGCTGCCCACTGCTGCCCACTGCTCTTCACTGCTGCTCACTGCTGGCCACTGCTCTTCACTGCTGCTCACTACTCTTCACTGCTGCTCACTACTCTTCACTGCTGCTCACTGTTGCCAACTGGTGCTCACTGTTGCTCACTGCTCTTCACTGCTGCCCACTGCTCTTCACTGCTGCTCACTGCTCTTCACTGCTGCCCACTGCTCATCACTGCTGCTCACTGCTCTTCACTGCTGCCCACTGCTCTTCACTGCTGCTCACTGCTGCCCACTGCTCTTCACTGCTGCCCACTGCTCTTCACTGCTGCTCACTACTGCCCACTGCTGCTCACTGCTGCCCACTGCTGCCCACTGCTGCCCACTGCTCTTCACTGTTGCTCACTGCTGCCCACTGCTCTTCACTGCTGCTCACTGTTGCCAACTGCTGCCCACTGCTGCCCACTGCTCTTCACTGTTGGTCCCTACTGCACTAATGCTGAAAGCCCAGGATTACAATAGCTGCTACATGACTAGCGTCAGGTCCCAAACAAACTAGGGACAAATGGCTATCTGTAGTGTCTGTTAGCATACCAAAGCATATGCTGGACTCCAGGCTCTCTCATGTCACAAGAACCTGTTACAGGGTCCATGCAGGCAGGCATCCTGGCTCTTCTCACCCCTGACTCTAATCTTCTCCAGCTCATGGGCTTCCCTCCCCCAGGTTTCCCATTCCCCTATAACCCTGCTATTTCGGCTGTGGTTCTCTTTTGCCCCCTCTCTTGTTCTCCTTGCCTGCATTCTCTCTGTCTTCCTTTCTCACACCCCAGCCTCTTCTCGTGTCCAGTCTGCTGGCCACGTTCAGTGTATGACTTTTTTTCTCTGCTCTGGATTCTTCCAGGTGCCTCTGGCCGTACTTTCTCCCATGTCTGCAATAAAAGCCATCCTCCAACCACACCTTGGAGTGCTTGTGTCAATTTATGCACCTGGGACTTGGGTGGTTAAAGATCAGAGCAACGTGCATCCACTCTGAGTGCTCAGAGCCCTAAAACTCTGCCTTACAAAGCAGCAGGCCTCCAGTCTCGGGGCTTGGATGTGTGCTTATCCACCCACCAAGCCTCAGCACCAAGGGCCCAGGCTGCCAGCTCTGAAGAGCGTCTCTGCCTGCTCACATTTACCATCTAGGGACTGCCCAGGTCCTCAGCAGCAGAACGGTGACAACGGGAAGGGACTGTGCTTGGGTTCCACATTTCCTCTACCCAGGAGAGGTGAGCACACTTCTGACCCACGTTTTGGGGACCCTGGTAAGTATGACTTTCATCCTGAGCACCAGCCAGCCTGCGGCTTCTGGAGAGACTTGTTTGGAACTGAGTCGGCGCTCAATGCTGTGTTCCTGGGGCTTCTGTTCTGACCACCACACAGCCTCTGAGGACGGATGGGTGCTTCGTGCAGCCTCACACGAAGTGTTCCAGTTGGTCTTGCTGTGTTCTCCTCTTTGCTTACCCGTGCCCAGTCCCGTGTTTCATGACCACTAACTTGGTAACTTGGAAGGGCCTCATGTCTCATGATGTGAGCACATTTGCCCTATGGATGGTGTTGCCGAATTAGTTCTAAAGCTTTTTATCAATGGTCTGGGCTGTGCTCTTTGCTTCCCCAGAGGGGAACCAGTGGATTAGAGGGCCTGTGATTGGGGCAGAAGCTTGAGGCTGCACCCTTACATGTCAGGAAGCAGAGAGAGCTCAGGCTGGGAGCAGAGCTGGCATCTAACCCTCTGGCCTCATCCCTGCAGCCTCACACCTGCCAGCCGAGCCCTCCCCAAAGGTTCCAAAGCCTGCCCAAACACACCACCATCTGTAGATCAAGGGTGCAAATACAGGATCCCACAAAGGACACTTCACACAACCACAACACAGGATGAGGTAAAAATTTCACACAGGGAGTGAGTGACCCGTGTTCCGCCAGAGGACAGGACTAGAATTTGGCTTCCAGGGAGTTTTTGTGTCGAAAGATGAACATCAAACATTTATATATTCTGGTATTTGAATATAATTTTGTATTTCTAAAGTGAAAATATGATTGTATATTTCCTAGGAGTTTCATGTTCTGTAATCTCATGGCTAGAGCCGTTCTGTATTTTTTCCCAGATAAAATACAGGCTTCCCCCCATTAAATGTTTAGTAGAGAACGCTCTCAGGATGTGCTGACATTATTGCTGTTCTGCAGTCTCCCCTGTTCACATCCCACAGTGAACAGGGAGGCACCGAGGGGCGTTTGCCTGTGAGTACTGATTATGGCTTCTCCTCCTCACATAATAACCCAGAATGCCATCTTTTTTTCCCCCTGAATCAAGCAATATTTTAATCAAATGAGTACTTCAAAGTACAGGTATTCCCAGTCAATGTTTGTGCTTAGTTGCCACCAAGCAAAACAATATTAAAAATGATGGAAATCAGTATTCTCTGTGTGGTGAGGAGACACTCTTTGGAAATATAAAGTCCTGATGATGTTTGACTTGGAACTTATCCTGGGATGCTCACAACCCAGCCCTCTCCAAAACTGATAATTCAGGTTTTGTAGGGTCATGAGTATAAACAGAAATCTTAAATGTAGAAGAAATTTGGGGAAAAAAAGACATAACTGTTAACTTGTATTGCTAAGAGATCATTAATGAAAAATTATAATTTTCCAAAGAAAAGAGTATAGTTTTTTATTTTAGCATTATGTGTGTGAGTATGTCTGTGTATCTGTGTATGTACAAGTGTGTGTATGTGTGTGTGTGTGTGTGTGTGTGTGTGTGTAAGAGGGGGATTCTTTGTGAAAGTGTATGGCTCTCTGGCAGGTAGAGGTGACGCAGAGCGCTTGTCCCTGTGTCCTCTGTGAGACTCCAGGGGCTCTCTTTCACTAACACTGTCTCCTTGTGTGCTGACTGTCCCTGTGGGGCCAACCACAGCTCAGGACAGGAGCTGAGCCATTGGCTCTGAATTAAAACAGACTCTTGAAATTCGTAATGGAGATAATAGTCTGTGGAGCTAAAGAGCTTGGCTGTGCCCTGGAGAGGGGCAGTGACTGTTCAGAACCACAAAGGCAGGGATTCAGAGACTATATTCTAGCATCAGCAGCCCTGCCTGGGGATGAAGTCTGGTGACAGCTAGGCTTTTTCCTTGTCCCAGGAAGAGAGGAACATGGCGGAGGCAGCAGACAGAAGCAGGGGTGGGAGTTCAGACGTTGCCCTGTGACTAGTGAGGGTCTGATGCCGTGTTGACTTCTGCAGAGTCCTGTCGTTGGCCGTGACAGAGACCTCAGCAATGACCTGACACTTTGAGGGATGACCAGTGCACAGTGACTTCTGCCTGGCTCCCCAGGAAAGCCTGGGAGAGGTTAGGGCTTCTGCTGAGGTCAGAACAATCCATGCTGGGGTCAGGTTAAGAGAAGTGGAGGTGTATTGAGGAAGTGTGTGTTGTCACCTTCCCTGCGTCCCCTGCCAGTTTGGTGACAAAGGTGATATGCCGCCTGTGCTTTCAATGGTGGAACCAGATCAGCTGATAGCCAAGAGTGACACTGACTTGGGTACTTCATAAAGAAATAGGGCCGGGGAGCTAACTAATGGGTGAGGTGCCTGCCATACAAGCATGAATCTGAATTCCACCCCCAGAACCAATGTAAAAAAAAAGCTGGGGTGGTGGTGCATGCTTGTAAGCCCAAAGAAGAGGAAAAGGAGACAGGTCGGTCTCTGGAGATTTTGGCCACTGCTAGATTACTTGGTGAGTCCCAGGGAAGTGGGAAGCCTTGTGCAAATGAAAAAAAAATATAGATGGGTCACATCTGAGGAACGACACGCAAGGGTGTCCTCTGGTCTCCATACACACCTGTGTATGTACACACACACACACACACACACACACACACACACACACTCACCTGCACATATATGGCCACTGTACAAATATGTGATATATACAAGTCAGGTCCAAAGGGAACCACAATTCCCCAAAAGCAGTGCATAATCCCAAGATGATAGTCTTTGCTCAGTTCAAGCTGGTCTATAGGAGCAGTGTTCCTCAGGAACCTGTGAAAAGGTGTCTGTCTGCCCAAAGGCCGGTCCCCTTGGCTATACCTGGGCTGCAAACTAAAGCCCGTGGCAGCCTCCAGACTCTTGGTCCCTATTCACATGTACATGTTTGCATTTCAAAGTCCACACTAGCATCCTGGCCCTTCTTACTTCCTCCTCTACCTTAAAACTCCCAGGTGGGTCCAGTTCAAGGCTTCCCCCTCCTCAGCTCCTCCTCCTCCTTACAACCTCCGTGATTTTTCCACACCCCACTTCTCTAGCCTCAGCCATGGCCAGTCTGCTGCTTTCTCTTTCTGCTCTGGACTCTCCCAGGTGCCTCTCTTACCTCCAATAAAATCCTTCTCCCCACTCATGGGGTGGCCATTCCTGCGGTGTCTTTACTGTGCCCTTGTTAACAGCACAAACATACATAACATAGAGAAATAGACAGTTTCTTCTGCGCAAATGCTCAAAATTGAATTAACTTTATCTGTCCAAGGACTTCCGAGTGTCCTGGAGGAAAGGGTTTACAGAGGAATCTCTGCCCAGATGTTCGTGTTCTTCTCGGGGATAGAATCATTAATATTCCACCGCTATAGGCACCTTTGGATTAAACTGAATGCAGGGAGCTGGGTGCCTCTACAGTGACGGTAGTGTGAGCTTTCTATCAGTCTCTCCCACTGCCCCTCAGAGAATGCAACTTCCTCCTGATGCTCCCCTATTTCACTGGGCTTAGCCTTTCTTGTCATGCATGTTTGTGCCTTGGGCTGCTTGGGACTCTGCTGACAGTGGGGGGCTCTGCTGCCTCAACCCTGGGGTGCCCTCTCTGACTCCACTGTGTATTCCAAGGTATTTGGGAACCAGGCCCAGTGGCAGAGTCCTTTCAAGAAATCCCCATTGGCAGTTATAGGAAGCATTTGTGTGTGTACAAGGAATAGTTCCTGTAGAAACTGAAGGACAAAGTCCTGAGCTTCCTAGGAGCCACGTCAGGTTATCTGAGCAGAGAAGAACTGCTTCAGGAAGAGCCTGCTTGCCAAGGGTGACCCAGGGGGGCCAAAGCAGGACTCTCAAAATCACTGTCTTGACTCCGTGAGCAATCTCCTTGCCAAGATTCCTGGTTACATCGCAGCAGGACTTGCTCTTGTTAGCTTCGCCAACTACGAAGTCCACTTCTCTTTCACAAGTGAGGAAACCCCAGGCTTTGTGATGCCTTTCTTCCTTAGTAATGATAACCGTGGCCAGGATGGTGAGAAGGCCTCAGGCATAGCTCGTCTTTGTGAGGGTCTTCAGGTGTCAGCCAGCATGCTTGGTGACATACACATGTGGTCCCTCTTCCTCTGTAGGGGAGCACATAGGCCAGAGAAGCTGCCAGAGACTGTAGACACAACCAGCTGTTGGGTCAGAGCCACCTAGCTTCTGAGCCAATGTGTTTAAAACGTCCTGACCTGTCCTGTGTTCTGTAAAGGACTGGCCTTGTCATTCAATTTCCGCTTCACTTACCACCTTCTTTCTGGGTCCCCTCAGCCCCCGTGACCTTGAAAACGATACATTCTGGGAGACTTTTCCTGCTCGCGAGATATTAATAACAGCCACTGTGGAATCCTGCATCTTTCACAGGCAGTCCCGGGTTCATGTGGTTCTGATGGGAGGACAGAGGAAGTGTGAAGTCAAGTGGTGGCCAGCAGGTGGCAACAGTCTGAACCTGCCTGGGATGTAGAAAGCCAGAACAGAGAGTTCTCTCCAGTGTTAAGGAAGGACACAGAAGAGAGTCCTGTCTTGCCCTTCATCTCACACTGTGCGCTTAGCTGTCAGGAGACTCAAGCAGGATCAGTGCTCTGGTCCCTCCTCACTGCAAGGGCACAGAGGTGTGGGGTGTTTCTGCATCTGGCTTACATGCCCTGCTCTTACC